TAATAGTAACTAAACATGCGAGATTTGCTCGAGAGATCGTAACATGAACGGGCTTGGCACACCACTCGCACGGCCAAGAACAAGGTAAGCTATGTCATGAACATGTCTTACTTAACTTAATCTTAACATGACTTGAATCATAAAATAACCAGGTAAACTGATGTTACCTTCTTAACTCTCGGCTGATTGCTTAACTGCTCGCAACACCCGGAGCCTCCGTGCGTACGGTGCTTGCGGTGCGGCACTCGGCTAAGCCTGGCGTGCGTGTGCGATAAGCTATGCGTGTGTGTGTGTTGAGCTTAGGGGTAATCCTCTCCTCACAAGTCTCTCTCACTTTCTGAACTTAGGACAATATGTTAAGAAAATGGAGCAAAATTCTCCAATTATCACATATTTATATATAACCGAAATGGAGTTTGGGATAATGAATGATTTGGTGTCTTCACCACCAAATGACACCTACTAAACTAAATGCTTAGTCATTATAATTAACCATTAGTCATCACTTAAACCTTCTTATGATGACACGTATGCAAGTTGAAGGAAAAGAAAATATTTCCCTTGTACAAGGAATTGGTGCGACAATTGAAAGAAAAATAGGAACAATCCGTACGGCTTTTGCCATTTAAGCTTGTGATTAATTACTAATTAATCACCTCATTATGTTTAATTATTAATTAAACATAATTCTTAATTACCAAAATTATTCCTAACGTAAACGGAACGTCGAAAATAATTTCGTGTAATCTTGACTGAAATAATTAATTCCGAAGATTAATACTCGACAATATTAATATATCGGAACTAAAACATGATTTATATTAATAAAATGACGGGATATTACAATCCTCCCTCCTTAAAAATTTCCGTCCTCGGAAATTCAAAACATAACTGAATATACATGAACTATGTACATAGAACAAGAGAATATGTACATCAAAACTGAAAATCTGGAAAAATAGCGCGAATATCGGACTCCGCCTCCCAAGTAGCTCTGTGGCGATCCCACTGAACACGCACGAGGGGAACATCTCGCTTCCGGAGTCGACGAACCTGACAGTCTGGTACAGCTACCGGTCGCTTCTCGTACGAAAGATATGGCTGAACCTGAATATCTGAATGGGGAATAACATGATCGGGGTCGCACACGTATTTACGCAACATAGATGCGTGAAATACATTATGAATGCCTGATAGCTCGGGAGGTAGGGCTAATCGATACGCGACTTCGCCTACCCATTCGAGAACCTCGAACGGGCCAATGAATCGAGGGTGCAGCTTCCCTCTCTTCCCGAACCGAACGACTCCGCGAATCGGACGAACTCTGAGAAAACTCGCCAACCTCGAACTGAATGTCTCGTCGATGATGATCGGCTAAAGATTTCTGTCGACTCTGAGCTGTCTTGAGTCTCTGCCAGATCAACTCGACCTGCTCTGCCGTCTCCTCGATCATCTTCGGACCGAGTACTTGTCGCTCTCCGACATCGTCCCAATAAAGAGGGGAACGACACTTGCGACCGTAAAGTGCCTCGTAAGGAGCCATCTGAATAAAAGAATGATAGCTGTTGTTATACGCGAACTCAGCGTACGGTAACAACGACTCCCACTTAGCACCCCTGTTAACAACCAAAGCGCGAAGCATATCCTCCAGTGTCTGAATGGTCCGCTCGGACTGACCATCTGTCTCCGGATGGTAGACTGAACTGAACTCTAACTTTGTGCCCATCGCCTCGTGTAAACTGTGCCAGAATCGACTGACGAATCTGGGATCTCTGTCTGATACGATAGTAACGGGCACTCCGTGGAGTCGAATGATCCCACGGGTATATATCTCAGCCAACTTATCCAAAGGCATCTTCATCGAAACGGGTAAGAAATGAGCGACCTTAGTCAATCTGTAGACCACGACCCAAATAGCGTCGTGATGTTCAGACGACCTCGGTAATCCCGTAACGAAATCCATCGTGACTTTCTCCCACTTCCACCTCGGAATCGGCAGTGGCTGCATGAGGCCGATTGGACTCTGATGTTCGGCTTTGACTTGCTGACAGGTAAGACATCTCTTGACAAACTCGGCGACGTCCTTCTTCATCCCTCGCCACCAGAACGACCCTTTCAGGTCATGATACATCTTCGTGCTCCCAGGATGGGCTAGATAGGGTGCGGTATGAGCCTCTGATAAAATCTCCTTCTGCAACGCCTCGACTTTCGGGACCACGATCCTGCCTCTAAACTCTAGGGCACCATCGGCACCTAGCTGAAAACCCTCGACGCCTCCGGCACGGACTTTGGCCTCCATGACTCGAACGAACTCGTCAGAAGCCTGTTCCCACTGGATTCTCTCCCTCAGCGTCGGTTGAAGCTGCATGGCACTGACACTAGCACTGACACTCCCCAAAATGGCTGTGGGAAGTGCATCGATCGCCTGAATCTGCATCTGGGCGAACTCCTGAATTAATGGACTCTGCTGAGTAACGACGTACGTCAAGTCACCCCTCACCTTTCGGCTTAGGGCGTCAGCCACGACGTTCGCTTTCCCCGGATGATACTAAATCGAGCAATCGTAATCCTTGACGAGCTCGAGCCAACGGCGCTGTCTCATGTTGAGCTCCTTCTGCGTAAAGACGTACTGCAGGCTCTTATGATCTGTAAAAATCTCGCAACGGCCGCCGTAAAGATAATGTCGCCAGATCTTGAGAGCGTGAACAACAGCGGCTAACTCCAAGTCGTGCGTCGGATAGTTCTGTTCGTGCGGCTTAAGCTGACGTGAAGCATACGCAACGACCTGGCCATCCTGCATAAGGACACATCCCAAGCCCTGTCTCGAAGCATCACTGAAAATGGTGAAACTCCGAGAAGGATCGGGAATAGTCAACACCGGTGCTGAAGTTAATCTCCTCTTGAGCTCCCGAAAGCTCGCCTCACAACGATCAGTCCACTCGAAATTCACAGACTTCCTCGTCTGCTGGGATAATGGGAGAGCAATCTTAGAAAAGTCCTCGATAAACCTGCGGTAATAACCAGCTAGACCGAGAACACTGCGAACCTCGGACGGACTCCTCGGTGTCAACCAATTCTGAACAGCTGAGACCTTGAAAGGATCCACCTCGATACCTGCCTGAGTAATAACATGACCCAGAAAGGCTACTCGCTGGAGCCAGAACTCGCATTTGGAGAATTTGGCATACAACGTTTCTCGTCTGAGGGTTTCGAGAACCACCCTCAGATACTCCTCGTTCTCCTTCTGGCTCTTCGAGTAGATAAGAATATCGTCAATAAAGATAATAACAAACTGATTGAGGTAGGGATGGAAAATACGGTTCATCAGGTCCATGAAAACCACTGGAGCATTGTTGAGGCCGAATGGCATGACAACGAACTCGTAATGGCCGTAACGAGTCCTGAAAGCGGTCTTAGCGATATCTGACTCATTAATCTTCAGCTGGTGGTAGCCTGATCGTAAATCAATCTTGGAAAATACACAGGCTTCCCTCAACTGATCAAATAAGTTGTCGATCCTGGGAAGCGGATACTTGTTCTTGATCGTCAACCGGTTAAGATCCCGGTAGTCGATACACATGCGCATGGATCTGTCCTTCTTCTTGACAAAGAGAACGGGTGCTCCCCAAGGTGACACGCTCAGTCGGATGAAACCGAGTCGTAATAACTCCGGAATTTGCGCCTTAAGCTCCTGCAACTCCTTCGGCGCCATATGGTATGGGGCTTTGGATACTGGACCGGCCTTTGGAATGAGATCGATAGAGAATTCCACCTGCCGGTTAGGCGGTCCTCCTGGAAGCTCATCTGGGAACACGTCCACAAACTCACGAACAACTGGAACATCGTGAGGTGATCGTGCTTTCTGAGAATCGTCGACAAGGCTCACCAGATAACCCTGGCAGTTGCCTCGTCGCAGCAACTTAGTGCCTTTCGCCATCGAAACAACATGAGGCAAGGAACGGTTCCTGGAGCCAAAGAAAGTAATCGAATCGTCTCCCGGAAGATAGAGAGTAGTCTCCCGGTCATGACATCAGATATCTGCATGATAAAAGGATAGCCAATCCATTCCGAGAATAAGGTCGAAGTCCCTCATCTCGAGAACATACGCGTCGGTAGACAATGAACGACCACCGATGGAAAGGCTAAGGTCTGAAGCTTTAGCTGAAGTCACTATCTTTCGTCCCGAGGCTAAACTCACCTCGAGAGGATCGATAGCGGTGGTAGCGTGAACTCCGATGGCATCAAGACATCGTCGTGAAATAAAAGAATGCGTTGCTCCAGTATCGAACAAAGCGAAAACAGGAATATCATTAAGCACAACCATCCCTGACATAGTACCTGGCTGTTGCGCTGCCTCGGTCTGATCAACGGCGTAGACTCGGGCCTGCTGTCTGCCCCTCTACTGCTGCTGAGGCGGCCTCCGAGCTTGCTGACGGGGCTGCTGCTGCTGTGGTGGCTGCTGAGGCTGCTAGGGCTGCTGCTGAAGTCTCTTCGGACAGCGGCTAACAAAATGTCCGGGCTCGTGGCAGTAGTAGCAAATGTCCTGGCCCATGTGGCACTCTCCACGATGAAGTCGTCCGCAAGTCGGGCATGGTGGAACCTGCTGCTGTCTCTGTCGGGTCCTCCTGTCGGTCTGAGCACCCTTCCCCTTCTTCTTCTTCTCCTTCGTCGGCTGAGCAGCTGGTAGGGCTGGTGGAGCTATGAATGACTGGGCGAGGGCGGACGGCTGAGAACGATCACGGACAGTCTCCCTCCTGATGCTAGCGTCCACCTCCTGGGCAATAGAAACTGCACGAGCATACGTCTGGGTCCAGTGGCCTACAATATTGTGACGGACTGCTGGGTAAAGCCCGTCGATGAAGCGCTGTGCTCTCTGTGCATCCGTACGAACCAGGTCAGGAACGAAAGCTGCAAGTCTGGTAAACTCTCTCTCGTACTCGTCAACAGTACGAGTACCCTGCTTGAGCGACAGGAACTGACGCTCCATCTCTGCTCTGT